CGAAGCCTTCTCTTATTTCGTAGCAGCTCTTCAATATGCCTGGGAACACGACTGCTTTTGTAAAGTTTATAAGCTGTGATTTCTGGAGTGGAATGTTTTGCCACCAGTGACATTAAAGACACTAATGCTTCAACTGAGGTATCTATGTCATCTTTACAGTTAATGTTTGAGCAGCCATCAATATTGGAATTCACGTTCTTCCTGTATTTAAGCCAATCTATTATTCTTGAAGTTAGAAAGTGTGGGCGCTCCGAGTACTGTGGGTGGGCATAAAGGTGAAGAAGGAGGATCTGTTAAGTGCTCCACATGGATCTGAGCCTGTGCCACTGTTCTTGTAACAGCGAAATCAATCAAGTCTGGTTTCTTCTTTGGATCTGTGGGCCAATATGTAGGCCAGCCCGGAGAAATAAACTCAAGCTTGTTTCGTGGTGTTATTATAGCGTTATATAGTTGTCTTCCTTTTGGGTTGATGAGTCGGGATCCCCAATGTGTGTGTTTGGCATTGTAGTCACCATCTGCTATGAAGCGGTCACCTAGTAGGTCGAAGAAATGTACAAATTCTGCCTCAGAAACGGAGAAGCGCGGTGGGTAGTATACTGCGGCTAGGCTTAAATAGCCGCTTTGTATTTCGATATGAGTTGTTGTGGCCTGAGATAAGTTGTAGCAAATGATGGCAACGGAAGTGCCTGATGCGATGCTTTATCAGGATGCCAGTACCTCCATGAGCCTTGCCATCGGTATGATTGGTCGCTTAGAATATGTAGCCATTGAGATGAAAATAATTATTGTTTGTTAGGTGAGTCTCTGAAATGAGCATGGCGTCAATGTCATGTTGATTGAGGAACTGCAAGAGCTCGCATTTGTGCTGAAAAATGCCATTCTCATTCCAGAAACATATTTTTAGTGAAGCCATTGAAATAGATTTTTGTTTGATTAGTAATTCCAGGATGAGATTTTGATTGGGCATAATTTCCTTCATCGTTTGTTGTATTGCTACCATTGTATTTGTTATAGTTGCCAGAATTGATTCAATTCCACTACGCAATTGGGATGGATTTGCAGTGGTATGTTGGGAAGTAGTTTCTGGCCCCTGTTGCGATGTCTGAGGCGTACGAATCGTTGGTGTAACTTAACGCCTTAGCAAAAGATACTCCGGGAATCGTAGTTGATGGTATGTTGTATGTATGATGGTTGGTATGTACGGCAAGTTTTGTCGGATGATTGGATTTCGAGCTGCGGATTTTTGTTTGGCTTAGGCCACTTTTTAACTCTTTGTATTCAAGGCAACCTCTATAGTTGGCAGTGTGGTTTCCACCACAGTTGCTACATTTTATAGCAGAGGTGTCCTCCTTATTTACAGGGCAGGGCTCATTGATATGTACATCCCCGCAGGCAACACAGGCTGCGCGTAGGGTGCAATTGGTTTTTGTGTGCCCATATTCCTGGCAGTTTGTGCATTGAACGGGTCCATTTCGTTTATGCGGTTCCTCAACGTAATTTTACGGTGCAATAGATTTTGCTTGCAAATTGGGTGAACTTCATTTTTACTTATAGGCAAGGCATACAGTCAGATGTCAGTTCTATCTTGAACATTGGTTGGGGAATTTTATTTATAATTATTGTGTTACAGGGCGTTTTGACTTCAAAGCCCTTATCTTTAAGTTCATCTTTTATCTCGCTGACTGGAACCGTTGGCTCGATTCCTTTGATAACCACTTGTAATCCCTTGCTACTTTTAAGTTGGCGGCGGTTGGTGTAGTAGTTCATCTTTTCCTCGTCGTCTTTCCACTGATCGATAGTTAGTTGCGTCATTGACTTGTATATTCATTTTTTATAGACGTAACAAAGAATTTGTTGTCACCAATTTTAGTAGTGAGTTTCTTAACTAATTCTGTACAATTAGCCTGACGCACATAAATAGGTGGCGGCTTTAGTTGCTGGGCCTTAGCTGTTTCGGCGTTATCTTCTTCAGGTAAACTGAGAATCGCGAATTTATTGTTTTTGGCCTCAGTTGGCACAGTGTTTTTAGCTGTTTTTGTTATTTTGGATGCGTTGTTTTTCTTAGTTGCTTGTGGGCTTAGTTTTCGTTTAATGTGCACATAGCGATCGAGCCCAGTCTGTATTAACGCTCCGTTGGCGCTTTGCGTAATTTTCGGCTGGGAGAGGGGGAGGTCGCAGTGATTTGACAATACCGGGCGCTAAGAGACTGCTGTTGTTGTTGTAGTTGTCGTTGTCGAAGATACAGATGTAAGAGAGGGCATTGTACTGGTCGTTGTTGTTATCAGCAATTTATTGGTAAGACAGTAGGGGTCTGGAGACGGGCACTGGGCACTCCATGACCCACTTTGCAATGTGCTGGGTGAGCATATTAACGCAGGGAAGAGAAAGCGTTCTCTTTCCGAATTAGCAGTAATGCAGTTGTTGTTGGTACCGATACATCGGGTGCGCGTATAGAAAAGTACGCGTGGTTACGAAGTGACGAAAGTCGACGTTCGTCGTGTTGTTGTTGCCGCCGAGCACGATTCTGGCTCATTTTTTTCTTTGTTGTTTACAGAGCTTATGCTCTTAATCGTTGGCATTACTTTATTTTTTCACAAAATTTAGTTTGCTTTTTTTTAGTTCTAATCACATTATATGATAAATTTACATGGGTCATACGAGCATAAGTGCGCATGCATACCCTGAGCGTCATTTTGCGAATTAATTTGGCGTTAATTGCACTATATTTTTAAGACACGGCGGAGCGAAATAAAAATACGTCCGACGTCTACGACGTTCACATTTGACTAATAAAATAATCTTAAAAACAAGAAACAACGCTACAGTCAAGCAAGCCTGACAGTGAAATACCCTGAACTCAAACTTTCGGCACTGACTTATATACGGTTATACACCCATAGGAGAAAAAAAGAAGAAAAAGAGGCGAACTTAATGCTGTAGTTTGTGGGCAAAGTACTGGAGTGAAATTGTTTCGCTAAGAACTTCTCTTAGAACTGAGCGATTTGGATGAAATTTAAAAGAAAAGTAGATACCATTTGGTGATATGTAGATTACGTGTGCAAAGTATTAACGAGGTATTTTGTAGCGCGACAAAGGGGAAAAACCAAAACAAAAAAAAATAAAATAATAATAATACATACCAGCCATTTCCGAAATCCAGGCGTTCATCCCGACGGACGGACAAACTGACGGATATGATTTCTCTCTGTACATTTAATGTAAAGAGTATAACAAGAGAGAACGCTGCAGTCGAGTAAGACCCGACTTTGAAATACTCTGTACATATGTTTAAAATAATTATAGAAATTAAAAAAATTAAGAGAATTAAAAAGAAAAAAATTTGATCGATTTTACCTCTCGGGGTATTCGAACTCACGTAAAGGGTGTATAATTGCACATTTACATAGCAATTGCATCTATGAGAGTGTATGTATGTTTATGCTCGTCTATTCGTGTCTGTGTAAGCATGTTCTCAATCAACCAAAGCATCAGCATCAACAACAGCTGCGGGCAGCGCTTGGGCAGCAAATATATTTATCGCTATAACTGGTAAATCGGCCTATCATGATGAAACTTGGCATACGGACACATAATTACTAACTGGGAGTACAGGGTGCGCCATCTTTTATGTCGGTATGCAAACATTGAATATCCGTGAAAATAAACAACCGATTTTCAAGTATGAGAGATTTTTATTGAATTCGGTTCTGTACAATTTCTTGAACTGAGGTTTTCAACACTGGTCTACTCAAGTCAATCGGTTCACTAATGACAAAGTTATTCAATATCTACATACCGACATAAAAGATGGCGCACCCTGTATTTCTCAAATTTGAGTTCGAAATTCTAAGAATTACGGGAGTTACGATTTGTTGTGAAGAGGGGGAGGGAAATTCCAAAATACACATTTTCTGCGTATTCACATAAGGCATCTGGGACTAAAATTTGGTATCCCTAGGTCTTCAAGGGGGTATATGGAAAATCGGAAAACTCCCATAGGGGGAAGTGGGGGGAAAATCCAAAAAATAAAACAAACTTGGACAGCGTACACACATAAGGCATCTTTGTGCGAAATGTGGTGTCTCTAGCTCTTATAGTCTCTGAGATCCATGTGTTCATACGGACAGACAGACAGACGGACAGGGCTAGATGGACTCGTCTCGTCTCGCCATGCTGATCAAGAATATATATACTTTGCGGGGTCTGCCACGCCTCCTTCTGCCTGTTACATTTTCAGCTCCCGCAAACCTAATATACTCTTGTACATTTTATGTACAGAGTAAAAAAACATATGTATAGAGTATTTCAAAGTCGGGACACCCGACTTTAGCTTTTTTACTTGTTACTTTTTATAGCCTGTACCCAAAGGGTAAAAGGCTATACTAGTTTTGTGCGAATGTATGTAACGCACAGAAAAAATAAATAATGAAATACATTTCTTTTAAAGAAATTTTTTTTAAAGAAATTTTTTTTTGAAGAGTACAGGCTATTTTACTGTCGAGCTTGATGGACTGTAGCGTTCCATCTTGTTTATTTTTATACCCTGTACCCGTAGGGTAAAAAGGGTATATTAGGTTTGTGCAAAGTATGTAACATGCAGAAGGAAGCATCTCCGACCCCATAAAGTATATATATTCTGAATCAGCATAACGAGAGAAATCGATCTAGACATGTACGTCCGTCCGTCTGTCCGTCTGGATGAACGCAAGGATCTCAGAAACTATAAAAGTTAGAATAACCAAAGTTGGCATGCAGATTCTCCTAGGTCCGAGAAAGGACGTGTTTTTTTTTTTTTTTTTTTTTAATGCGACTGTAGCGTTCTCTCTTGTTATAATTATTCTACACATATGTACAGAGTATTTCAAAATCCGACTTTAGCTGCTCCTCTTGTTTTTGTGATGCACAATATCAGCTTTTATCTATTGCCTACCTATTTTTAGTAGCCTTATTTGTTGTCTTTATTGATCATATTTTCTCCTTTCTTTTAAACTACATCGAAGTCTTTAAATATAACCGAATCAAAAGTGGAAACTATTTTTGGGCCTGGAGATTGCATAGGAGATGTTGAAATTGTTGAAAACTGTTACCGTACACATACATTTATAACAACATGTAAGTTTGACATTTTGTTTTCTGTTTAAGTCCCTAAAACCTATATTTATACTCCGTACATGAAATTTTAGGAGGAGGAGTGGCACACCCCATAAGGTATATATATTCTTGATCAGCGAGACAAGGCGAGTCAATCTAGCCCTGTCTGTCTGTCCGCTTGTCCGATGAACACATGGATCTCGGAGACTATAAGACCTAGGGACACCAAATTTTAGTCCAAGATGCCTTATGTGAATACGCAAAAAATGTGTATTTTGGAATTTCCCTCTCTCTCCCCTCTCCCATGCAAATCGCGATTTTCTCTAACTCCCGTAATTCTTGAAATTTTGAACTCAAACTTGGAGACCTCCAGTTGGTGATTATGTGTCCGTAGTCCAAGTTTCACTATGATAGACCGATTTAACAAGAAGTTGTAGCCGTAAATAACTATTCCAAATATACAATTATGTACAGAGTATTTCAAAGTCGGGACACCCCACTTTAGCTTTTTTACTTTTTTTATATTGCTGTTAATTATTTCTTATTTTGTGGTTTATTTTCTTGAGATTTGTTCTATATTCTGCGTTGTATTGATTAGTTTGTGTGTGTGTGATCGTATGGGCTATGGCATGTATATAATATATGGGTTGTATGTTTGAATGTGGCTGATGGACTATGGGTAATGAGTTGGTGCATGTGTTGTATAGAAACGGTTTGTGTATGTGTGTATATGTATGCGAAAGTATAAATGTGGCGTCGAAGGTCGGTGCTGGCGGTGTTCTCTGCCGCGGATACTATTACACCCTCCTGTTTCTAGGCGACGCTCGGCGCCGACGCCGCACACAGCACACTTTCCCGGTCGCCCGTTGCTACTGCTGTCTTTCGCCTATGCTACAAGGCAAGGGGTTAGTTATTGATTGGCATAGCCCTTTTTTGAGTTTCTTACAACAGCCTAAGTACTCCCAAGAATGTCCTTCCTAGTCCTCTTCCTGTCCCCCAGCTATTTAATCCTCCCTTTTTGGCATCTTTTTGTTTTATTTTTCTTCGTATCCGAATTTTGCACGTGCGTATCACTTAGCCACTTGTAAAAACTGTGCCCTTTTGCCCTTGACCGCGGTTATCGTTTTCTCAATGTTATATGACATCTCATCAACGCGACGCAAACAGACATTCAATAAAATAGCTTGGCAACACATATCATACATATAAGCACACATAAACCTGTACACCCACATTGTTTTAGCATAGATAATATTGGCACCATAGTCTGCACGCGCACACGAATTACAGGTGCATTGACACTGGCCAGCCTACACAAGCAATAATGAGCAAGAATAAGACACATATTATTCTGCTACATAATACCAACAATCAGTTCATAGTTTATAAACCAAATTGGGCTGACACCAGCATACTTAACCTCATAATATATGCTTGTGCATCATTATTGTGAAACGGCCAACACATAGAAATAGTAAATATAACTAGTCATAAGCTAGTTTTAAGCATGGCTATATAAGCCATGATTTGTAAGAATAAAATCAGTATGCCAATTATCAACGAACGGCCTGTTACTTTGGGTCAGGGGCTGCTGATCTTATTGTTTTTGTTCATATTTTCTCCTTTCTTTTAAACTACATCGAAGTCATTAAATATGACCGAACCAAGAGTGGAATCTATTTTTGGACCTGGAGATTGCATAGGAGATGTTGAATTTAGCTACTTCTTATACTCTGTACATGATGTGAACAAGAGTATACTAGGTTTGCGGGAGATTGAAAATGTAACAGGCAGAAGGAGGCGTGGCAAACCCCACAAAGTATATCGATTCTTGATCAGCAGCACAAGTCGAATCGATCTGTATGTCTGCCTGTCTGTCCATGTGAACACCTGGATTTTAGAGACTATCGGAGATAGAGAAACCATATTTTGCACAAAAATGCCTTACGCTGTGAACCCCACTCCCCCAACTTTTCCTATATCTCAGAGACTATAAGACCTAGGGACACACCAGATGCCTTATGTGAATGCGCAGAAAATTTGTATTTTGGAATTTTCCTCCTTTCTTCCTTTTCCCCGCAATTAGTGATTGTCTATAGCTCCCGTATTTCTAAGAATTTGTCATTAAAATTGTGAAACTACCTCCAGTTAGGGATTATAAGTCCGTATGCCAAGTTTCATAATGATAGGCGGATTTAACATGTAACATGTTATAGCCATATATATACATATATGGCTATAACATGTTACATGTTAAATCCGCCTATCATTATGAAACTTGGCATATATATACATATATGGCTATAACATGTTACATGTTAAATCCGCCTATCATTATGAAACTTGGCATACGGACTTATAATCCCTAACTGGAGGTAGATAGGGAAGTGCCCGCAGCTGTTGTTGTTGTTACTGCTTTGCACAAGCACACGAGACATACACAGAGTACAGAGTATTTCAAAGTCCCGACCCGAAATTAAATTCTCTACTTTTTTATAACAAACTAGCAGGTATTGCCCGCCTTAACCCGGCTCAATATAATGTTTCCAATTGTATTTATTTTGTGTGTGCATAACCTACCCATATGTTTTCACCTTATAAGTTACCAGTAGGAAGGCATTTAAGGTATTTAAATGAACATGTTCTGTTCTTGACAAAAAATTGTTCAGTAGTACGTTACATTTTTGTTCTTGCCAAACTATTTCGTTAAACGAACATGACCACTATAACTAATATTTTTTAAAGCTCGTTTTCCCCCCTTTGGAGCTGGAATTTTCAAAAAGCCTTTCTTAGTGTGCTCCTACACTATGATGGATACTATGAAAGGATACTTGAGTCCAAATTTCATCTTTTACCGTTTGGGCTGTGCGTTGATCACCAATTAGTCAGGACAAACTGTTTTATATATAGAGATAACGCAACGTTTTAAGATAGACTATGTGCAAAAAAGGGGAATAATTATAAGGGTATATCCTAATTTTAAATTCACATTTGAGTCTTTTCGTGCCATATTGATACGGTCACGCACAAACTCGGAATATGAAACACGGCACTCGTGTCAATGCCGTGCAGCGATGAGCCACGATCAAAAAGCACTGACAATTCTCATCTCAATTTGCTAGAGTAAAACTTTCGATAGTTGAAGCCACCGATACCATCAAAATATCGAAGTTTGAATGCAATAAGCAGAATATTTAAATAATAAAATCTAATTATTTATTGAGATCAATAAGAACAAATCATAAACATACATACATCTGCCCGCAATGCGAAGCAGAATATGCGTAGCTTTGTTATTCGATTTCTGCTTTACTATCGCTTACGCAGTCGTTGCCTAGCGACGGTAACTGTAAACTTTTGGCGTTTTGCCTTTGCAATTAACATTAAATGGTCAAAACGAAAGAAGAAGAGCGAGCCAATGACTTGCAGTTGTTGTTGTTTTTAGAGCATTATTTTTTTTACAATCAAACAACTGTGTTCGATTGCCCAATGTATACATTAATACGAATGTACATACATGCTATATTCATACACAGGCATACATACATACATACATACATATGTATGTTACTCTTTACTTTTTCAACCGTACGTAGAGAACCGCACACATAGACACGAACTGTTGCTTGTTGTGTGCGTGAGTGTGTGTATGTGATGTCCCCAACTATTTGATATTTGTTGTTGCTGCATAAAGTTATTAATGAAAACCCTAATGCCAAATGCACTAAACAAAGAAAAAACTACTTTTAAAAATGTTATATAATTTTCAATTAATTAACATTTCTTGCTCTGTCAGTGCAAGATGAATGTACATACATACATATGTAGATACATATGTACATACATAGATGTGCACATATGTAAGGACATTCACACATTAGTGTCTCACATGTTGCTCTGGCTATTTCAATCGTTTGCAGGCAACTACACGAACAGCTGCTTGCATGTGTGTGTGTGTGTGTGTGTGTGTGTGTGTGTGTGTGTGTGTGTGTGTGTGTATACTTAGTTGTCCCCAACTGTTTGATATTTTGTATTGTTTGTTCTGCCTGCTTTTATAAAATGCATATTTTGAAAATCCTTGAATGCAAAGTTGTAGATTTAGTTACGTAGATTACATTACCCAAATTTTAAATCGATCGGACTAAATTTATAACACAAACTTTTCATTTGAAATAGTGAATAAATATTAAAACCCCAATAATTCAAGCTCCAACACAAATTTCGAAAATATAAGTATGCAGTTTTGTTTGTATTCTTTAATTGATTTTAGAAACTAAGTTTTAAGTCGATCGGTTGAAAAATGCGGATTTTTCAAAAAAAATTTTGGAGCTCGTTTTCCCCCCTTTGGAGCTCGAATTTTCCAAAATCCCTTAATGCACATTTACACTATGATAGGATACTTGAGCTCAAAATGCAGCTTTCTAGCTCTTACCGTTTGAGCTGTGGGCTGTTGACGCAGTTTCCTTTTGTGCCCCAAGAAAACCCCAATAATTCAAGCTCCAACAACAAATGTAAAAAAACCGAGTATGCAGTTTTCTTTGTATTCTTTAATTGATTTCAGAAACTAAGTTTTAAGTCGATCGGTTGAAAAATGCGGATTTTTCAAACAAACTTTGGAGCTCGTTTTCCCCCCTTTGGAATTTTCCAAAATCCCTTATTAGTGCGCATCTACACCATGATAGGATACTTGAGCCCAAATTTCAGCATCCTAGCTTTTACCGTGTGGGCTGTGGGCTGTTGACGCGGTTTGCTATTGTGCCCCAACATTTTTTTACAGGAAAACTCCCATATTTTAGGCCCCAAAAAAATATCAAAAAACCAAGTATACAGTTTTTCTTGGAATTGTTCTGAGAGTATACAAACTAAGAAGTTAATCAGATGAAAACTGTAGATTTTTCATACAAACGTTGGAGCCTGTTTTCCCCCCTTTGGAGCTCGAGTTTTCCAAAATTACTTCTTAGTGGGCACCTAGACTATGAAAGGATAGTTGAGCCCAAATTTCAGCTTCCTAGCCTTTACCG